AAGCACATTTGCGTTAATAAAGCTTTAAATACAACGTCTATTTCCCCTTTCAATCCAGCTCCTTATCATATTCATACCCCTATTGCTCCCAACTAATATTTCCAATGGTGAAGTTCCATTCTTGTTCCAACCAATATTTCTAATGGTCAAGCTCTCATGAGTGTGTTATGCCACCTGTAAAATGACCCGCCACAACTTTAGTGGGCATATATCTTGAGATGTTTTTCCTAACTTCATCGTGATTTTGATTTAAAAGGCCATTGGCTCGCAAGATCAAGCTTATAGGCTTTCTATGGTGACCCCTTATATCCCCGTCACCTAAAAGGATTACTTCGACCGATGCTTTTTGGTGATGCGCATGAATCAACCAGTTGTAATATCGGACAACACTTATGCTATTAGCTACTTTAGCTTCACGCTAACATAATTCACTTCAATGTGAAAGCCTTCGAGTTCTAACTCTAACCAACCGACTCTATATACAAAATCATATCAGTCAACACTTATGCTATTAGCTACTTTGGCTTCTCGCCAACATAATTCACTTCAATGTAAAAGCTTTCGACTTCTAACTCTAACTAACTCCATAAACAAAGTCAACTCGATCTCCTTCGGACCCTCCATTCACTTCATTGTACTGTTTGGATAAATGTAATCCCATGTTTGTTATATATGATAAGGAATAGAAATACTTTAGCTTTAAAAAAAAAATGTTGGGAATTGGACTAATCCCATGTAAATGGCGAGATTGAATTATCCCGATTTCATGGGCTAAAAGACTTTTTTATCCCAGGCCAACCTAATCCCACGGGCTTCAATCCATCGAACCAAATGCAGGATTAAGCTGGATATCCTGCCTAGTTCTAGAAAACAAACATGGGCTTTAGATTATGGTTGTAATAAGATATACGAGTATTACATACTATGTGCTAAGACTATCTTTAGGTATTTATGTCTGCACGGACCAAGTCAAGAAACACTACCAAATCCATATCTACTACATACTATATTGCCACATACCAACACTAATGAATGTCTACTATGTCTACTACATACTATAGCTATTGCCACGGACCAAGTCCTCGTCTAGAAGAATTGCCTCGTCTACAAGAAAACACTAATGACTAGGCACTATCTTACCAAAATGATGCCGGCAAGAACCCGACCAAAATGATTCTGACGGCGTACAATTTTTAATACACAATTTTAATTCGTATCATATAATCACTGATCAATTTAATTAGTGTTTAATATGTTTATNTCACACCCTTTCTAGATTTTTTCCATGTTCATCTTATTCTAATATTCTACACAATTTCTAGATTTTTTCCAATGTTATCCTTAACCTTCTATTTCTTGCAAGTTCATTGTTTAAAGTGTTGTAGAGAGTTTCATACTCTTCTCACTCTCTCCTTCTCCATTGTTTCCTTCCTACACCTTCCTTACTTTTCGGGTTGTCCTACATCATTCCGGAAAACACACCACCAGGTTTCGCAATGTTGTTTAAGTTTATACAATTCTTCAAGCTTCGGATGGGTTCAATTTTAGATTTATTATTTTACCTTTATATTAATGTCGCCGCCATCACCTAAAAACCCTCGACAACCCAAATTCCACGATGCCAAACAGCTCCTTATTCAATCCACCCTTAAAACCCGAGTGCATGCAATGGCGGAGGCAAGTGTTACGAACCCGGGCTTTAGCCCGAATGGGATTTAGATTATCCATTTATTTATTACTATTTGATAACTTAGCATAGTGCAAGAAAGAAAAATGAGTCGCCTCATATAAATATCAAATTGAGAGTTTCGTATCCCATATTTTTAATTAAAAAAATTGCTTATTGAGACTTGTGAAATGATTGTTGACAAATTAAAATTATTTTCGCCTTTGCAGTGTAGGGTAACTCTATTTATTTGGTTATTAACATTGTTGAGTTTAATAATATAACAAATTTTAGACAAACTTTTTCAAGTTTAATTCCTAAATTTTGGTTATGGAACGTTAAAAAACAGTTGGCACTTCAAATATAAAATGGACATATTAATGTTTTCTTGCTATCACTTTATTTTACGTGTGATCTTTTTATCGTGGAAGTTTACACCTTGTAGAGAAAGAAACACAAGCTCAACATATCAAAAAACACGTCTTCTAGAGAAGAAACACAAGCTGATCAATACATCACATTTCTGGAGGTGGCACTAGACTACTCTGATGAGACCAATACTTATAGCATTTAGCAAGCGTAGGTAGATCAATCGACTCAATCTCACCCGTACCAACCCAGTACAAGATGCAATATCGACCTCTATTTGGAGCAAACACCATCCCCTCCGGGTAGTTTAACCAACCGACTGGAACAACCAGATCATCTTCATACACAAACTTTTCTTCAAATCTCCACTTCTCCTTCTCCAGATCGACGCTAAACGCCTTCCTCCAAACTCCCGTCTCGGGATTCATCTCCCACACGTCCCACGACAACCTCCCGAGCTTCACCACAAGCGTCAAATCCTTCCCTCCCGACACTAAAAAAAACTTCTTCTTCCCCAAATGACCTAAATTAGGCATGGGCGACTCGGTCAAAACCTCGGTTTCTGCATCGAGGGTCAAAACAGTCGATCCCCCACTATACGGGACCCAGTGCACGAAACCTTCGGTCGACATCGGGGGACCCATCGACAACAGGCTCTTCGCCTCACGAGACAAGTGGTCCGTGCGCACGTGCCTCCACGTGTCGCCGTCGTCGTAAGACCCCACACTCAGTATGTCGCACTCGTAAAGTAAGGCTCCGCTACCTTTCGCTAATTTATTGCACACTTGGACCACTTTGTACTCCATAGAGGCCGCCGCATATGTCAAACAAGTGTTATTTCTCGAGTTTTCTCTACCGAAATGCGGAGGGAGTTCGATGTACTCGGAGGTCCCGGGATTCATGATGCGGAGAGTACACGGATCGAAATCCAACGGCGTGTAAGTGTAAGTGTTCACCACAACAAGGCCATGAGAGGTGCCCAAGATATGCGGGCCCGATCTGTAGCGGGCCCGGGATTTCTCCACCCGGCCTCGACTACCGGAGATAAAAATCAAATCCTTAGGGACTCTCGTATTTTGCAAGAGGAGCCCAGTGGCAGCCGCACGATTGTGGTGCAAGCGTGTGAAGTCGAGAGAGCGGGTCGAATGGGCCCACTTGCGGCAGACGAGCCTTGCCGAGTTACGGATATCACGAGAGGTGAGGCGAATGAGGATGTCGAATAGCAAATCTTCGGTAAGGGACTCTATGTTTGGAGTACGATTGCATCTCGCCATCTATGTAGCAAAATAAAAAATTAATTTTTTCGTTAGGAATTTGTCTACATTATCTTAATGATGAAAAGAAACAACACATATTTCAGTTTGTCAATTCACTATTCTTTGGAAATTCTCACTTTTAATGGTTTCAACTTAATCAATTGATCCTAAATTAAAGCTTCGGAAACTATCACTTATGGTTTTGACTCGACCTATGCAATAGTAATTTCGGTTTCATACTTTCATCATATCTACCTCGAACTTCGTCAAATTGTTTTTGAAGTTTTTTTAATTTTTTCCAACCAAAATACGCGTTAAAGTTGACTGAATCCTTCTGAGGATCCCGACGTTTGGAATTTTATGAAAAATATATGAATAGAAAGCNCGGCAATATGCCTGCCAAGTTTCCAATTTTTTCCGGCCTCTGCAACTTGCCGGTAAACTATAAACATCGGTACCAAAAACGAAAAACAAGTATAATCAGGATACTAAAACCGACTTTTTCCACGTGCTGGATCAGGAATTAGGGCACATCTAAAACGTGTTTATTGTGAAAAACAATAAATAAACTGAATAAACATTCGAACTGAAGACATGATATGTAAAATCATCACAGAAATTGCTTACAACTCCGGCCGGCGATTGGGTGGTGACGGCGAGCTTCGGGTCGCTCTGGTAATCCATTCCTCAGAGATTACAAAAAAGTAACGAAAATATTAACGAGAAAAGGAAAAAAAAAAATAGGGAGAAATTGAAGTGCGAGAATTTTTTTCGGGATTTGTATAGTTTTCGAACTAGTTATATCTGGAATTGGAATAATTTTTTTTAATCAAATTTCACAATGCAAAAAATCAGCATAAAACATCTAATAGGACTCTTCCCATATAATTAATAATTATACATCCATAAATCTTTATGTGTCCTAATTAAGAGACAAGCGTAATTTATTTAGGGAAGTGCTATAGGTACATAGAGATGTACATAGAGATTTACATAATACTCACATTGAGTGGGATCCACTCAAAATAAAAAATTAAATGGACCCCACTCCATGTGAGTGTTATTTACATCTTTATGTACATTTATTATGTACACATAGCATTTTCCATTTATTTATTCAGCTCAATCAAAAAATATCAATCAAAATATAGGTCAAAATATCGATTTATACAGATTTTTTTTTAAAAAAAATTATTTTTAAATACATTTAAAAGTTACTTTTAATATATTTACATTGTGATCAGATTTTAATTAATTATAGTATTTATTAAAATTAGTTTTATACATTATTTATATTTTCATAATAAATTAATTTAATATTTATTAAAACCGATAAAATAGACGGTATTTAAAAGCCGATTGAACCGGTTGAACAGTGTACTACTGGCTCGTCCACTATGATTACCAGTACGATATTTAAAACACTTAAAATTAGCGCAACACATCTAACAGAGTAACGAGACTCTTGACATATAATTAGACATCCAAAAGTCTTATCTTTATACTAGTAATTAAAAAAAATGGAGATTTAGTCCTCTAACTAACACTCAATTGAGATTTGGTCCTGCAAGTTAGTCGATTTTGGAAAACATCCCATGACTGGCCAAAAAAACATGATATTTCGTCCTGCAAGTTAGTAAATATCATCTCAGATAATGCAATCATATATTTGTTCATGCTGAGTTCTGACACTGAAGTCCATAGCGAACTCTCTTAATAGTGATTTTTATAATGCATATAATGGGAGTAAAGGATGAAGAAAGGAATATATAATGGCTATCACTGTAATCACATGCTGAACACCAAAAACTGAACATATTTTATAATGCTTTATACAACAAAATGTAGCTCACATTGGACAGCCACATTATGCAATTCTTGAACAAAATGAACAGGAACAAAGGTCAAAATGGGCAAAACATAAATCATAATCTCTATCAAGATGTTTGCACAAAGGAAACTATGAATAAGAGCATTTACATGTGTAATCTGAAATAATGCTTTAGTTACCTATAAAGTAACCAAAGGTTGAGTTTCTCAAAAATAAAGAAAAGGAATGAGCAAAAGAGTAATATGAAGTTCTGGTGGATTATCTGTGACTAAATGAAGTACAAATACTTCTATAAGGGAAAAAAAAAGCACTGAAATAGAACTTCATAGCGCTTGGAGGCTAGCAATCAACGTGCTAGAACCGTGACTTTTGCTCCTTTCTCTTTTGCTTCAATCTCTTCATTTTGTTTTGAGTCCTTTTTGTGTTTCTCTTACCATTGGTTCTTTTGGGTTTCATCTCTAGCCTACCCCAACTTGTTTGGGACTAAAAGACTATGTTGTTGTTGTTGTTGTTGTCCTATCCTTAGTGCAACAAACTGTAAGATGAAAAAATTCTGCAAAACAAACC